AAAGTACGATCGTTTTACTTTAACACTAAATCTACCTATAACAAGACATTATTTCTTTTTTTTTTAATTATTGATTGTGTAGATGATAATCTATTGGATACTTATATCAAATAATAGATGATAATGATTTTATTCATATGTTTTATTGAAGTTATACTTCTTTTGGCGCGTTTTGGAAAGTGAGGTTAGATGCGACCGAAAAATCAACACCACGAAGTTGTCGATATTTACACGAGGCGCGGATAAATTGAAGTTATTTTTAAGGTTATTGAGGTTATGATTCGTTTTGGTACACTAAAGAAGTATAACTTCTTACGTGCATACATAATTAAACACATCAGTTTTTTTTTCGATTACGTAGCTATTTAAAAAATATGATCGTGTTACTCTGACATTGTATCTATCTATAAGAACAAATTATTTCTTTTTGCTATTGATTAAAGATAATAGTCTACTAGATTAAATGAATAAATCATGATTTTTAAGTAAGGATAAAGTAATATTAATAATTATTATTGTTAAGTATATTCAAGGAATAATATTGAATGTAAAATTTTGATTTCAAATTGAAAACAAATTGTGGATACGTTTTAATGTTTAAAAAATAGTAATTTAAAATTTTGTATTTTCCTATACAAATTGAAAATAGTTGTAACGAAAGTGTAATGATTGTTTTTATATTTAATAATTCCAAATGCATTTGAGATAGTAGTAATTTTTGAAGGGTAATTATATTTTTCCAATTTTTCCTAACGTGTTTAATATAATATTTCAAAACTATACGAACAATATTGTTCGTACGTTAGCAAAAAATATTATATCTAAAATATTTTTAATCACGGTACGCGTTACGCGTATAGTTAAAAATCTTGTTGTTTTTTTTTCTGTTATAAAATTTCTTTATCAGTAATCTCGAGCGTTGTATCCTATTAATTTTCAACGTATATCGAGATAAAACGTTGAAAGGTAATCTCTGTATAGAAAAAGTTGGGTATCAAGATTTTTGTTGTAATAACTAATAAATATACTATCGAGAAAATATGAACACGTTATGATTATGCATGGTACACGTCTCATATTTTTTTTTTTTTTTAGATATAAATTATATAGTATATTTGTCAACGTGTGTGTAAAAGAAATTGTTCCTAAGAAAAAAAGAAAAAAAAGAAGAATAAAATAAAAAGAATTATCAAACGAGCAGGTTTCGTAACGTACACAACGAAGCATAAAATACAATTTGTTCGTATATTGTCTAGTAATAACGTAAACCACTCATACAACATTGGATAATCACGTAACGATTTCAAGTGAAATCTGCACGTATATTTAGACCTATAGATATATAAATTCGTTTCATAACTCGTAACAATGGAAAATTACAATTGAATAAATTTAAATGTATTATACAGATTTGTAATTACACAAATCATATTTATTATATTGTATACATAATATATAATATATTAATAGTGATTAGATATTTGATATTAAATTACAAATTGAAACGTTAGACAGAAACTAATTATTTTCTTATGATTATGAAAGACAAATCTCGTCAATAAATGCAACACGTTACTTGGATAATTAAAGTTTCCCAATCAACGTAAGTTAAAGTTCCTATAAAGTTTAACGATCGACGTGCTTCGATAGATAATTACATATATTATCGATAACGAATTGTCAAAGTGTTATCTTTAAATAGACTATAATTATGGAAGCATACTTCTCGGCTGGATCTTTTGGTATTGTACATATACTCACTACTTAGACTTTTCCAAACTCAAGAGTCTTACCGAGCATTAAATCGAGATGCAGCAACAAGTAGCTCGTCAGTAATACTATAGAATATCGTTGCACAATATTCGAAGGTCGTTGATCCTTTCATTCGATACCCGTTACTTATACCAAAAAATATAATATATCATTCTAATTATGAAAAAAAAAGAAAAAAAAAAGAAAAAAACAGGAAGCACAAATTTCGTTTATTCATGCAAAATAATATTACATACTTCATTCCGTACTCGTAAATGTTTCTTTATCAAAAAATATGCAACAATATTACGTATTTGTTTAGATATATGTTACATATTTCATTCGATGCTCGTAACTTTATTTTAAGACACGTGCAATATTGCAAATAAAAAAACAAATTAAAAAAAGAATAACTTCATTTATATATTTCAAATAATTGAATAATATATTACGTGTATGTGTGTTACATATTTCATTTCATATACTCTTATAATATTTTCTCTGTCAAGAAATATATTATAATATATAGTAATTTAAAAGAAAAAAATTATAATTTAGTTTGTATATTTTTAAAATATGTAATAGTATTTAAGTAAATGCAAAAAAGGTTTGCGAAATAAACAAAAAACAAAAAAAAAAAGGATGATTTATGTTACGTCAAAACGTAACGTGAAAACAGAGATAGACATAAGCGATTAGTTTACCTTCTCGTGTTTCAAAAAATATCAAAATTTTCTTACCGTTGTAATATAAAACAGAAATAATATATTTAAATTTGTAAGGAACATAAACACACAGTAGACATTTGAACCAAGGTTCTAAAATCCAAGGGTTGTTCGGCGACGGACAGTCTGAATTTAAGACGTCCCCAAGGTCAAACATAATATCGAACTATTTTATTAACCTAAAACCAAAAACTTTCTCAAGAGAACGGGGATACATGAACTAATAATAAAATTCAAAATCTTGTTATGGTACTTTAGACGCCCTATAAAGTTATCCGTTGATACAGGATTGAACTTATCAGCAATTAGTTAATTTATTAACGTATTTTAATACTTCTAAACTTCATCTTCGCTACCCTTACACAAATATTAATAACTATTTTCAATGTAACACATGCGTATATTTTATTCACGCATCCAACACATGTGTTAGATATTTTATTCATTATTTCTAACATCACATCCAAGATACATGGATAATATTACAATTAAGAATAAAAATAAAAAGTAAGACATAGTTTCATATTTAATTATAAAATATTATATTATTATATTAACGTATATTTTTTTTATACATAATAGTACATTCGAGATCCTTGTAACTTTATGAAGAGATGAAAAAAAAACAAAAAAAAAATCAAAAATTAAAATCCAACTATAAACACGCGTGTATGTA